CATCCTAGTCTATTGTCATCCTATTCTATTCCATTCCATTTTCATTCCCTATATTCTATTCCTATTCTATTCTGTTTCTAGAAAGATTGCAAAATCTCCAGATGTTAGGATCCTCAAATCAAAATCGCCCCACGCGGGTGGCACGAGGTCATGATTTAGCCAGGCAGGTAGGCAGGTGGGTGGAGCCGTTTTGTTATTCTAAAAAAAAAAAAAAAAGTAGTGACGATTTGCTGACTCATCCGTCATTCCTTTGCCCCGTCTTCTCCTAAGCTCTCGGCACCTGAGGGTGCATCCGAGTGACACGAGCCACAAAGTTGACATCAGCCATTATTCATAGGGCCTGGAGGGTGACTTCATTTACTATTTCTCAAGAATAATTGAGCCGTGGCATGAAGTTTCTTGAAGAGCAAGGTGGATCTTGACTTTACTCACATAATTCCTATTTCGGAAATACAGATAGTCCTCGACTGATATAACAGTTCATTTAGTGACCGTTAGAAGTTTCAACGGTGCTGGAAAAAAGTGACTTACGACTGTTTTTCAACATTTCTGACCATCGCAACATCCCCTGTGTTTATGTGAACAAAATTTGGATGGACGCTTGGCAACTGACTTGCATTTATGACAATTGGCTTTGTCCCAGGATCACGTGATCCTCTTTTGCGACCTTCTGACAAACAAAGGCAACGGGGAAGCTGGATTGACCTAACAACCGTGTTGCTAACTGAACAACGGAAGCAATTTGCAAGAAGGGCTGTAAAACGAGGCAAAACTCACTTCTCTCTGGCTTAGCAACAGAAATTTGGGGATCCATTGTGGTCGTAAGTCAAGGACTCCCTGTATTCCTTTCTTCCAAAGTGGCTTTTGAGCTTGACTGAAAAGGATCTGATCAGCCCTTGCATCTTGAAGCAGGGCCCAAGCGGTGAAGGGCAGGTGGGCGTTTGCTCTCAGGATGAAAGGTTCAAGCCTGAAACTTTTCAAAAACAAGAAAAGCCAGTCAGGAATCTGGAATGGAGAATCGGTCTGACCTAAAAATCCAATGATGTTGATAAAAGATGCGGGTTAACGTCGTAGGTCGAAATTCAGTTCTTTGGCTCCAAATCCATTGTAAATCATACTGGATGATGTAATGATGGTTTAGGGGTTTCTTACAGATGAACAGAGTTGGAAGGGACTTTGTAGGTCATCTAGTCCAACCCCCCTTGCCCAAGCAGGAGACCCTACACCATTTCTGAGGGATGGCAGTCCAGTCTCTTCTTGAAAGTCTCAAGTGATGAAGCTCCCACAACTTCTGTTCCATGGGTTGATTGTTTTCCCTGTCAGAAAGTTTCTCCTTATTTCCAGGTTGAATCTCTCCTTGTTCAGTTTCCATCCATTGTTCCTTGTCTGGCCTTCGGGTGCCTTGGAAAACAGCTTGACCCCTTCCTCCTCTCTGTGGCAGCCCCTCAGATATTGGAAGACCGTTATCCTGTCTCCCCTGGTCCTTCTCTTCCCTAGACTAGCCAGGCCCAGTTCCTATAACTGTTCATTGTATGCGTTAGCCTCCAGTCCCTTAATCATCCTAGTTGCTCTTTTCTGCACTCTTTCTAGAGTCTCAACATCTTTTTTTATACTGTGGTATATTGCGTGGCAAACTGTGATTGATGGTCGAGCTTATTATGTGACTGTGACCTGTTGTGTTTGATTCTGCCCCATGTAACTTAGATAAGTGTTTCCCAATCTGGTTAGCTTTGTGATGGGTGGACTTCAACTCCCAGAATTCCTCCCAGGGAAGGTTGCCAATTTTTTTTGGCTCATGTCCCTCCGTTGCACACTCCACCGTAGGAAAAGATGGAGCGAAAGAACGACTTTTTTTGTTTTGTTTGGAACCCAGTTCCTTTCTTCTTACCACCTGGTTCCAGTCCCAATCAGCAGACAACCAGAGCAAATCTGATAAGCTGGTGAAGAGATTTTTATCATTCCAGTATATAGGATGTTGAGTTCTATTCAGCTCAATGTATGTTGCACCTTGGACACTTAATTAGGCAGTTGACTAATCCATGACACACACGTTTTGTGAAGTTTTCTTGGCACGTCCAGTCTGTTTTTCTCAGCAAACGAAGGTCACCCAGACACTGTTCTAAAAATACTGTTCTTTGCTTTGCTTCTCTTAGAAAATTATTTTGGACTGTCTTCTTCCTGACTGTATATGTAAAAAAAATGACTTTGGGAGGGAGTATATTCTTAGCGAAGTTCAATTTTGCTGGGTTTTTTTCCCTTTTTTCTTTGAATAGAACTATTTATGCTAAAAGAGGAAAGGAAGGAGAGAAAGAGGAAAGACGGTCAGGAAGGAGAGAGGGAAGGAGGAGAAGGGAGGGAGGGTGGAAGGAAAGAAGGAATGAAGGGGAGGCAAGGGAGGGAAAGAAGGAAGGAGGAGGGAGGGAGGGAGAAGAGAGGGAGGGAAAAGAAGGTAAGGGAGGGAGGGAGGAAGAGAAGGAAAGGGGAGAGGGAAGGGGAGGAAGGAAAAGGGAGGGAAGGGAGAAGGAAGGGGAGGAAAGAAGGAGAGGGGGAGGGAGGAGAAAAAGGGTGGAAGGAACAAAGGAATAAAGAGGGAGCAAGGGACGGAAGGAAGGAAAGGCGAGGAGGGAGGGAAAGGAAGGGAAGAGGGGAGGAAGGAAAGAAGAGGGAGGAAGAGGTTGAGGGGAGGGGAAGGGAGAAGGGAAGGAAGGAAATGGACGAGGAAGGAAGGGAATAATGTTATGACTTCTTTTCATACCATTTAAATACAGGAGATTGTTTTTGAGGTGAGAGATTGTAGCTGGCCTCCAGGCAACTGCTGTACTAATATATGTTTGAAGATCGGGGCCTGGCTAGGCAAGATTAGCATAGATCCTTGCCTCTACTTGCCTTTTTCCTGTTATTGATTTATTCCATTGGCCCCTTCGCTGACTGCCTAAACCTGGCCTTAAGGAATAGCAAAATTGCTTCTAGTTTGCTTGCATTTTTTTTTTAATTAAAGAAAGCTTCCTGTTTGCTGGTTCCCAGCTCCTGATCGGGCAACTAGGAATTTGGATGGATGCAATGATAGACAGTCTAGAGTTTGTAAGTCCTTCAGTAGGAAAACAAGTTGGGTGATTGTTGCGTTGGAGCCCAAGTGGAAGTATACCTGCTTGGTCAGCAAAAATACTACCGGTTATAGGCTGGGCGAATTAATGCCTTCTGGCTTTACACCTTGCATTAGTCTCGGGTGTGGTTGAGTTGGAGCAAGGTGTCTTGTGTAAACTTAACATCTGGAGAGAAGTTTTTCAGATGAATGCCAGAAGGTGGTTGGGTTGTAGTTTGGTGTCTTCCGTGGACCTAGAATCTGGAGAGAAGATTTTTCAGATGAATGCCAGAAGGTGGTTTGATTGTAGCTTGGTGTCTTGCTTGGACCTGGAATCTGGAAAGCAGTGCTTGTCAGATTTGATGGCTACGCTCAACTCGGCACATGAAAGCTCGTTCCGTCGCCATCGAACCGTTTGTGGCTTTGTGCCCTGCAGGCCCACCTCTCATGTTTGGGGCTGGGTTGCACAACGCTGGGACGGTTTGTAAAACCGAAGCCTTGCATGCAAAGGCAGCATTTGAGGACAGCAAAGTGGGAGGACCAGGGAGTACTTACTGGATTACGTGGCCTTGTGAAGGCTGAATTCCTGCAGATTCATAGCCCAAACGTGAATAACCAGGAAGGAGTTTTTAAATGAACGCTTGTGCTGGGACATGTGATTATTCTGGGACTTAAAAACATGGGTGTCCTCTCCTCTTCCTCCTCTTCCTCACCCAGAGCAGCAATGGCTGTAGGCAACTCCTGGTAGTCCTCGACTTAGAACAGTTCATTTAGCGACTGTTGAAACAGTGGTGGGATTCAATTTTTTACTACTGGTCCTGTGGGCGTAGCTTGGTGGATATGGTTTGGTGGGCGTGGCAGGGGAAGGATATACTGCAAAACCCCCATTCCCTCCCCACCCCACTGACCTGCTTTCCAGCTCCGTTCTCCTGTGCAGGGCAACCAAGGGAGACCCAGCTGATCAGCTGGGACTCAATGGGAGGCAGAGAAGAGATGGGGGGGGGGGAGGCCAGTCAGAGGTGGGATTTGCCAGTTCTCTGAACTACTCAAAATGTCTGCTACTGATTCTCCAGAACTGGTCAGAACCAGCTGAGTACCACCTCTGGTTCCTTCTCTTTGTTCCTCTCTTCCTTCCCCCTTCCTTCCTCTCCTTCTTCCCCTTTTGTTCCTCTCTTCCTCGCAGTGGTGGGATTCAAATGGACTAATGAAAAAGGAGAAATGTCCCACTGCCAATTAAAATACTGTAACTTCAAAAATCCTCCTTTGTAAATTTATTTGTTTGTTTGTTTGTTTCTTTGTCAAACATGTACAAGATAACAAGTATAAGTATGAACATAAACAAGAAGAAGGGAGTAAATACAGATAAATGGGGACAGTAAGATAGGAACGGTAGGCAGGCTGTTGCGCTTATGCACACCCCCTTTAAAGTACCTCTTAGGAATGGGGTGAGGTCCACGGAAGGCAGTTTGAGGTCGAAGCCTGGAGGGGTTGAGGTTGCAACCATGGAGTTGGGTAGCGCCTTCCAGGCGTTGACCACTCCGTGGCTGAAGTCGTATTTTCTGCAATGGAGTTTGAAGCGGTTTCCCTTGAGTTTATATTGATTGTTTGCCCGTGTATTATTGTGGTTGAAGCTGAAGGAGTCCTTGGCTGGCAAGACGTAACAGACAATTTTGTGAACTATGCTTAGATCGGACCGCAGGCGGCGCAGTTCCAGATTGTCCAGGCCCAAAATTTCGAGCCTGGAGTGTGATGAGTGGAGGAGTGGAGGACTCTTCTTGAGAAATACCTCTGAACCCACTCCATCGTGTTAATGTCCAATATACAGTGCGGGTTCCAGGCGGACAAGCTGTATTTTAGAATTGGTCTGGTAAAGGTTGTGTATTAGTAATTGAACAATCCAATGTTCCTCTCTCTTTAGAGAAAAAGAAAGGCCAGATGCTGGATTGATGCAGAGCATTCAAAGACAAAGATTAGCACTGGGAAGAGTTCTCCACAGCTGGCTTTCTAGGAACACATGTTGTGGAATGGACTATGGGGGAGAGGGCAGCCATTTTGTTTCTCAACCCATCCCCCCAACAGCCATTTTGTGTGAGCACTCACAATAACGACGCTCTGAATCCAGAACGGGACTCAGTTCTCCGCAGACATTGGGTCCATCTTGGTTCTTCTTAAGTTTTCTGCTTTACATTTTCCCAAAACATCTGCTTCTCATAGTCCATCCTCTGTGGTAGACAATAATTCAGCCGTGTTTTTATTAAGCCCAATGAAAAGCTGATGGATTCTCCTTGCTCCGAACGCCCAACGTGGAGAATCCTAACTGGATTCACATGTCCGCTTTGGCGTGTTGAGTAGGTTGTGTTGGCCTCCGCTTGTTCAGGTTTATTCAACAATCCAGATGCATCAGGCATCGGACAAATCAGGTCCATGTAATTGCACATTTCATTTGCAATTTTTTCTTGTAAGAGACAGGTCCTGAAAATATCTCCAGGAAGACTTAACGTAGGAATCCTCTCTTCCTATCTATCATGGCTTTGTAAGATCTGAGAACTTGAAGAGAATCTATTGTCTGTTGTGTACATTCTTGGACGTATCAAACCATGGAAAGCAACAAATCCTTCTGCATCTTTGTCCTAGCACTTTGTAGATATCTAGATGGAAGAAAACATTTTTCTTCTTCTTCCCCAAACAAGACAATTTCAGGGAAGTTCTTAACAAATAAAAGTCTGTAGAGATTTATCAGTTATCCAGGTCATGGTTGTGGCAAAGTTGCTTTTTCAAGAGGCAACTGGACTTTCTTGGTTTTTTTTTTCTTTTGAAGACATTTCGCTTCTCATTCAAGAAGCTTCTCCATCTCTTGATGGGATAGTGGGGAATGGAAGCTGAAGAACTTCTTGGATGAGAAGCAAAACTTTTAGCTACGCAATTTGGGACAAACACCCCCTTTGAAAGGTGTGAGAGTAAGAATAGATTTCCAGAGGGGAAAAAATGCAAACTACAGGAACCAGGAACACCACTCAGGTAACCCTGAGGACACAGATAAACTTCCCAAGTGGCCTCAATGGACTCTCTAAAATAATGCAAATGACCAGCTGTCTGCAAGGAATATAAATCCTTTCATTCCCCACCATCCAGTCAGAACTGAAGAAGCTTCTTGGATGAGAAGCTAAATGTCTTCAAAGGCAAAAACAAAAAAGTCCAATTGCCTCCTGAAGAAAAAAAAAAAAGCACCTTTGGGATTTTTAACAAATAGTGAAGTTTTGTGTGTATTGTTGACTAGAGAGTACCACAAGAGGTCCTATCATCCATCTTTCCTGCAAACACAAGTCCTAAAGAAATAAATCCCGAAGCTTTACCCAAATTTGTCCTCCCCACCATTAAAAAAAAAAAAACTCACAAAAACAGCCGATTTTTCCTTCATTCTGGGTCAACTTGGAGAAGCTCTCTCTGTTTCCCTTGCCTGCAAAGCTGGAGGAGAAATTTCAAAAGGCTGTTGATTTTTCTCCCACGGTGAGCGAGGCAGGCGTGTCAAGTCTGGGCACGTCCAATTCAAATGTTTGTTTATTTTACATTATATTTTTCCTTCCTACTTTGAATCGTTCAAATTCCAAACGGCGACGTGGAATAATAATGGCTTTGTTTTGGTTTTTTAGGAGATGGCAAACTCCGTTTATTTGGTGATGGAGGTGAGCGATTCTAAGATGATCTTACGTTCTAAGATGGGTTTTAATTGTCCCCTTCTTTTAAAGAATTCATGCATGGTTTTATTTATTTATTAACACTGTATGCAGTTTTCATCCCGAACTGCAGAAGTGCTAGTTGTTATTTTATTTATTGACCTGAATGTTTAATAATTTGGCTTAGTTGATGAATTCTTGTTTCTGTTTCTTCTCCTCTCTTTAGTACTGCAACGGTGGAGATTTGGCTGATTATTTGCACAGTATGTATTCTAAGAATGCCGTCTGATTATTCTATAACATTGCCGTCAATATTAGGAAAAAGAAAATAATATCAGGCACGAAATCCCTTGTCAAATGAGTTTTATCCATGCAATTTGATAGGGATATCCAGATGGTATTCCACTAGCAAGTTTGTTCTGGACTTCTAATTATTTTGTTGCTGCTGCTTTTTCCTTTTTAATTACAGGTATAATTAATGCCAACGGGGCCTATTTTCATCCAGACTAAACAGTCGAAGCATAGGTGGTCTCAAAGGCTAGCGAAATTTTTATCGACAGTTTTAGTTTATAGAAATTGTTTGGTTCCTTTAGTAAATCGTTAAATTTTGTAGGGTTTTCCCCCTTCTTTATATATCTGTCTATCTTCTTTATATATATATATATATATAAAAGTGAAATACTCCTCACGCATCATCACAAAATCTCCAGAACTGTAAAGCCTACAAACTTGAAATTTGACACATATGTTCCTCTTGGCTTCTAGGTGCTCACTAAGAAAGGATTTTTCGAAATGACCATCAGAGCATTTAGAGTATTTCCTATATTATTATTAACACGCTCTGATGCTAAGGAGTTCTACTCCCCCTCCCCCACCTGAAAAGAAATCTCTTCCAAGTGCAAAACACAAGCAGAGGAGATGAGTTTCAGTTTTAGTTTCACAACACCAATCAGCTTTAGTACAGAACAGTTTAGCTAAGCCACGCCCAGGCTCCTTGCTGTCTCCTCCTTGCTTACACAGCAAATACTGTTTCACTTTCCAAACAGCTTCCACTCTCACACACTGATAGGACGCTAGCCAGATGAATACCAATGGATGCTGGTAGGCAGAGGCAGAATCATTTCAGACAAATGGCTGTGCAGTCTCTTCTTAAAAACTTCCAGTGATGGAGCACCTATGATTTCTGGAGGCAAGCTGTTCCACTGGTTATTTGTCCTCACTGTTAAGAGTCTCCTTAATTTCAGGTTGCTTCTCTCTTTGATTAGTTTCCATCCATTGTTTCTTGTCCTCCCCTTAGGTGGTTTGGAGAATAATTTGACACCCTCTTCTTTGTGGCAGCCTCTGAGATATTGGAACACTGCTATCATGTCTCTCCTAGTCCTTCTTTTCATCCAACTAGACATACCCAATTCTGCAACCGTTCTTCGTATGTTTTAGCCTCCAGTCCCCTAAATCATCTTAGTTGCTCTTGTTTGCACTTTTTCCAAAGTCTCAACATCTTTTTTATAACGTGGTGATCAAAACTGGATGCAGTGTTCCAGATGTGGCCTTGCTAAGGTTTTACAAAGCGGTACTAATACTTTAGTGATTTTGGTTCTATGCCGCTTGCTTATACAACCAAGGATTGTATTTGCTTTTTTGGCTGCTGCCGCACATGGCTGGCTCGTGTTTAAGGGATCGTCCACTCCAAGGCCCCTCTCACAGTTACTTCTTTCTGAGCCAGGTTTCACCTAAGCTGTATTCATACCTTTGGTTTTTCCTGCCCAGGTGTGAAACCTTTGGCGGTAAAATCTGGCAATAATAACCTGCAAATTTCACTGCTGTTTTCCCCTTCTCTTCCTTTTAACAGGCATGAGAACTCTCAGCGAAGACACGATCCGTCTCTTTTTCCAGCAAATTGCAGGTGCCATGAGGGTTTTGCACAGCAAAGGCATCATTCACAGGGATCTCAAGCCCCAGAATATTCTGCTTTCCTTCACAGGCGGCAAGAAGTCAAACCCGAATAACATCCGGATCAAGATCGGTAAGTAGGAAATGAAAGGACGAAAGACGCTATGAAAGTAAAGAGAGAGAGAGAGAGAGATACAGAAAGAGAGATGGAGGGGGAAGGGAGAGAGAGATGGAAAGAGCGATAGAGAGATGGAAAGAGTGAGATGGAGAGAGAAAGATGAAAAGAGTGAGATGGAAAAAGAGATGCAGAGAGAGAGACAGAAAGAGAGAAAGAGATGGAAAGAGGACGAGAGAGAGAAAGAGATGGAGAGAGAGAGTCAGAAAAGGACAGGTGGAAAGAGAATGAGAGAGAGAGAGACAAAGAGAAAGAGAGAGAGAGATGGAAAGAGAGAGAGATTGTTTACAATTTGAACTAAGATTCTAGTCCACTTTGTGTTTTTATGAGGTGACAAATCCCCTTGATTTCAGCGGATTTTAATCTTTAGGAAGTATGATTTGGGCTTACCATCCCCAATGGAAAAATACCAGTTTGTTAATTTGGGTCCAGGCTGATCCCCCAGCTTTTCTTTATCACAATAATCCTTTAAAAAAAATCTGTTAACGCTTGTTACTGTTTTTTATCAATTAAAAAAAGATAGTAAAAAAAGAAAGCATGAATGGGAAGGGGGGAGAAAAACAGCTTTTCATATTTAATGGTTTTTGCCAAAGCCGATTGTAATTTTCCCCCCTCTGTCTTTCTCCCCCTTCCCCTCATTGCTTCTCCGTGTAGCTGATTTTGGATTTGCACGCTACCTACAGAATAATATGATGGCGGCGACGCTATGCGGTTCTCCCATGTACATGGTAAGGGGCAGCTTAGTTTATCTGCATTTTCTTTTTCCCAAATCGATTTTAGAGTTGAAAACAAGAAACAAATTGCTGCTGTTTCTATTCTATTTTTTTTCTATCGAAAAAAAAAAAGAAAAAAAGACACCACACTAAAGTGTGCAGTGATGGGATGAGGACAACAACTTTTTCACGTTTAGCGGTGTTCGATGAGGCCAGCTGTCGTTTCTCCTGGGAAAGGAATAGAATTGAATATAATTCTTTTATTGGCCAAGTGTGATTGGACACACAAGGAATTTGTCTTGGTGCAAATGCTCTCAGTGTACATAAAATAAAAGATACATTCATCAAGAGTCAAGAATCATAAGGTACAACACTTAATGATAGTCCTAGGGTCCAATAAGCAATCAAATCATACTAGGAAATAATCCATAAAAATCATTAAGGATACAAGCAACAAGGTTACAGTCATGCAGTCATAAGTGGGAGGGGATGGATGAAAGGATGGGAGGATTAATAGTAATAGTAATGCAGACTTAGTAAATAGTTGGACAGTGTTGAGGGAATTATTTGTTTAGCAGAGTGATGCCGTTCAGGGAAAAACTGTTCTTGTGTCCAGTTGTACTGGTGTTCTCTTTGGCGTCGTTTTGAGGGAAGGAGTTGAAACCGTTTATGTCCAGGATGTGAGGGGGTCTGTAAATATTTTCACAGCCCTCTTTTTGACTCGTGCAGGATACAGGTCCTCCATGGAAGGCAGGTTGGTAGTAATTGTTTTTTTTCTGCAGTCCTAATTATCCTCTGAAGTCTGTGTCTGTCCTGTTGGGTTGCAGAACCAAACCAGACACAGTTATAGAGGTGCAGATGACAGACTCAATAATTTCTCTGTAGAACTGGATCAGCAGTTCCTTGATTAAAGTCTGTGAGTGGGCTCCCTTGGTTTTGCTATCATGTCCTTTGCTCTGTGATTGTGTTTGAGGGGCTGCCCCAAAGAAGAGGGAGTCAAGCTATTCTCCAAAGCACTTGAGGGCAGCACAAGAAGCAATGGATGGAAACTAATCAAGGAGAGAAGCAACCTAGAACTAAGGAGGAATTTCTTGACAGTCAGAACAATTAATCAGTGGAACAACTTGCTTCCAGAAGTTGTGGATGCTCCAAACACTGGAAGTTTTTTTTAAAAAAGTTTGTCTGAAATGATATAGGATTTCCTGCCTAAGCAGGGGGTTGGACTAGAAGACCTCCAAGGTCCTTTCCAACTCTGTTATTCTATTCTAATTTATTTAAAAGTTAATATTCCTGGATGGCATTGCAACGATTGAAACAACAGACACGCTCCAAAGCTTTTGCTTGGACTCCTCTATGAATTCTGGATTCTGCTCCGTGTTGGAAAGTGAACTGGATGATCTCGAAGGTCCCTTCCACAGGTTCCATCTTGTGATTCTTGCTCTGGGCAGGGGTGGGGTGGGGTTGGAATAGATGACCCCCGAAGATCCCCCTTCACAGTTTACGTTCTATGATTCTCTGCATGTTTACAATGCAGGTAATCCTCGACTGACCGGCCGTTCGTTCAGCAAAAAATGTAGATAAGAGAGTGATTGATCTGGTTGTGCCACTAAGTTGTAAAAGAGATCTTCTTGAGGCTCTTAAATTGTGGGGGAGGGCGGGATGTATATTCAGATCGTGTGTGGGATGGAGGAGTTTTGTCTTCGATAAAGGACCAAGTGAGCCAGAGGTATTTCTGGCTTCCTGCCAGCCTCCCTGTGGATCTCCCTTGTAGGAATCCAGTAGGCAGCATTGACAACAACAAACCTGATCGCGGCAGTGCGGTAGCGTTGAAGCACCCACAACTTTGCCAAATTTCAATCCCCTGGGTGTCAAGATTTGGGGTGCGTTCTGTAAGCGAAGCTCTTGGAAGCACGTTGATTCAAGAACGGTTGCTCTCTGGCCCACCGATTTGCCTAGTTGAAGGTTACCCAACAGGCAACGTGAGTTTTGAGCTGCCTAGAGAGTCTGTGACCAATAGAGGAGGAAGAAATGGAGGCAGTGACCGATTTTATTTACCTGGGCTCCACGATCGATGCCAGATGGGGATTGCAGCCAAGGAATTAAAAGACGCTTGTTCCTGGGGAGGAAAGCTATGGCAAATCTTGACAGCACGCTCAAAAGCAGCGACATCACCCTGCCAACAAAAGTATGTATAATCAAGGCTATGGTTTTCTCAGTGGCAATGTATGGGCTGGGAAATTTGGGCCATAAGGAAGGCTGAGCACCCAAGAATGGAGGCCTTTGAACTCTGGTGCTGAAGAAGACGTCAGCGAGTCCCTTGGATGGCAAGGCAATCCAACCGGTCAGTCCTGGAGGAGATCAACCCTGAGTGCTCTTTAGAAGGCCAGATCCTGAAGATGAAACTCAAAGACTTTGGCCACCTCAGGAGAAGGAAGGAAGGACTCGCTGGAGAAGAGCCGTAATGCTGGGAACGATTGAGGACACAAGAAGAAGAAGAGGACAACAGAGAAGGAGGAGGCTGGAGGGGGTCCCTGAAGCAATCGGTGTGAGCTTCAATGGACTCTTTTTCTAAAGCACCCGAAGGCCAGACAAGGAATAATGGATGGAAACTGAACAAGGAGAGATTTAACTTGGAAACAAGGAGAAACTTTCTGACAGTGAGAACAATCAACCCATGGAACAGCTTTCCCTCGGAAGTTGTGGGAGCACCATCACTTGAGACTTTCAAGAAGAGATTGGACTGCCATTTGTCAGAAATGGTGTGGGGTCTCCCGCTTGGGCGGGGGGTTGGACTAGATGACCTACAAGGTCTCTCCCAACTCTGATTATATGTAATCTGTAATCTAACTCCAGAAGGTGGTAGAGGACAGGAAGGCCTGGAGGAACATGGTCCATGGAGATCAACCCTGTCTGCTCTTTAGAAGGCCAGATCCTGAAGATGAACCTCAAAGACGTTGGCCACCTCATGAGAAGGAAGGAAGGACTCGCTGGAGAAGAGCCTCATGCTGGGAATGATGGAGGGCAAAAAAAAGAAGGGAATGGCAGAGAAGGAAGTGGCTGGAGGGAGTCAATGAAGCAGTCGGCGTGAGCTTCAACGGGCTCCAGAAGATGGCAGAGGACAGGAAGGCCTGGAGGAACGTGGTCCATGGAGTCGCGATGGGTCGGACACGACTTGGTAACTAACAACAACAGAGAGTCTGTTGTTCAGCAGCCAGAACAGGAGTTCTTCACAGCAGGAGTCACCCAGCAAGAAAGAGGAAACAGATGCAAGAAATGAGTGGAGTGTGTGATTCAGACTGGAGGCAAATAACATCCCTCCAGCCATCTTGATTCATTAAGAAGATTTATGATGCCAACCTGGTTGGACAACTTTCTCCAATGTGCAAAGTGAAGAGTTGGTTATGAGTGGACAGATCCGTCCAGTATCCCTCGAGCAGTCAACCACGTTTGTTGAACTAGTTCAAGGCTCTTGGGGCTGTTTAGCATCTACCAAGATAAGAGATGTAGAATAAAGTAGAATAGAATAGAGTAAAAATAGAACAGCACATTAGAATAGAAGAGGAGAGGAGAGAATAAGAGAGAAGAGAAGAGAGAAGAGAAGAGAAGAGAGAAAGAAAAGAAGAGATAATGGAGTAGAGTAGAGTAGAACAGAACAGAACAGAACAACAGTACATTAGAGTAGAATAGCAGAATAGGAGAGGAGAGGAGAGAAGAAATAATGGTGTAGAATAGAACAGACAGAATAGAATTGCAGTACATTAGAAGAGAGAAGAGAAGAAGAGAAGAATAAAAGAAGAGAAGAGAGAAGAGAAGAGGAGAGTGGAATAGAGTAGAACAGAACAGAAAGAACAGTACTTTAGAGTAGAATATAGGAGAATAGCAGAGGAGAGGAGAGAAGAGAAGAGAGGATGGTGTAGAATAGAACAGACAGAATAGAGATAGGAACAGAACAGAACAGAACAGAATAGAATAGAATAGAATAATGGAGTTGGAAGGGACCTTGGAAGTCTTCTAGTCCTGTGGAAACTTGAAGGAGTCCTTCAAGGATCTCAGCATGTTTAATCTGTGGAATAGATAATGACAGGGAGATGCACCACCCATTTTGAAACCTCAAGGGATGTCATAAAAAGAGACTGGATTTGTTGCTCTGGAGGGGAGGAACCAAACTGGTGGGTTCAAAGTACAAATGCTAAGTTCAAGGTAGACATCAGAATTAACTTGATGGGTGCTCTGAACCAGTGGAACAGGCTGCCACATGAAGCGGGGAGTTGGCCTTCAGGTCTCCCAACAGAGACTGGATGGTCATCTGTTGAAGATACTTTAGTGAAGGGGTCCCCAACCCCCAGGCCATGACCCACTACTGGGCTGCCGCTGGTTCAGAATTGGGTCATTGCATGCACGCGCAAAGCTTCCCTTGTGTGGTGAAACTTCTCTTGTGTGAGCGGTGGCCATTTTGCGTTCACACATGAAACTTCCCTCGTCCGAATGGTGGCCATCTTGCGCTCATGCATGAAACTTTCCTCATGTGAGCGGCAGCCATTTATTTATTTATTTATTTGAATTGGTCAAACAAAAATGAGAAGAACAAGAGAATAAAAATACAACAACAGGGACGACAGGCACATTAGTGCAGTTATGCATGCCCCCTCTACTGACCTCTTAAGTATGAAGTGAGGTCCACAGAAGTCTATTTGTGACTTCCCTCACGCGAGCGGAAGCCATTTTGTGCTCACGCATGAAACTTCTCTCGTGCAAGCGGAGACCCCTACCTTAGATTGTGAAGAGTTGGACACAACTTAGTAACTGAACAGGTTATGTGCATTTTTTTAAAAAGTCTTTGAGATCTAAATTCTCTCTTGGAACAGATCCCTGGTCACCCACCCTGCCTGGTCTTTTTAACTTCAGTTGAACTGCCATTGTTGTTGTTCTTTCTTCTTTTCTTTAAAGAGAGACTAGCATGATGCAAAAACAGATGCTGGGATTTTTCCAGAATGCTTTTGTGCATCATGCAAGCTGCATACACGTTTTAGAGAGGAAATGCACAAAGGAACAAAAGCTTAGATCAAAAATGCTTCCAGTGACCTCTTTGCGTCAGGAAGTTAAAAGGCATCCCAAAATGGTGCTCATTAACCCTGCTTTGGAGGGACTCGGTGGCTAAGATGCTGAGCTTGTCGATTGGAAAGGTTGGTGGTTCGAATCCCTAGCGCCGCGTAATGGAGTGAGCTCCCGTTCCTTGTCCCAGCTTCTGCCAACTTAGCAGTTTGAAAGCACGTAAAAAGTGCAAGTAGAAAAATAGGGACCCCTTTGATGGGAAGGGAACAGCGTTCCATGCGCCTTCAAAGGCATTTAGTCCTGCCGACCACATGACCACGGAGACGTCTTCGGACAGCGCTGGCTCTTCGGCTTTGTAACGGAGATGAGTACCGCCTCCTAGAGGCGGAAACGACTAGCATGTGTTATGTGCGAGGGGAACCTTTACCTTTTAACCCTGCTTTGGGGATGGTCTGGTCTCGCAGCAGCGGTTGTCAGATGGAGCTGTGATTTGGGGGTAAGGGCTGAAACACTAACTTTCAACTTTTTGTGCAAAGCGAAGACTTTGCCACCAAGAGACTGCTCTTGTATTGTAGTGGTATGTGAGAAAGGCCTCGGGGCGACGTGGAGAAGGGAAGCTCCCTAGGGAATGGTCAGATAAGAGACAGCATAGCCCTGAGCTGTATAACGGCAAGAGGTTCAGAAGGGACCCTCCCTAGTTTCTCATTCTGTAAAGGAGCGGGCTGTAATGGGATGTGTGGAGGACCTTGGGAGATGGAGCAAAGTGATACTATTCAGATAAGAGAAGGCATGGCCCAGAGCTACATAAGGGGCAGAGAAAGAGACTCCGAAGCGGCCCTCCCTAGTTTCTTAGGCTGTAAAGCAGGAAGCGATAATGGTATGTACGAAAGACCATGGAAGATGGGGAGAAGAGATGCTGCCTAGATAAGAGGCTGCATAGCCCAGAGCTGAACAATGGACAGAGAAAGAGACTCAGAAGGGACCCTCCCTAGTTTGTACAGCTGTAAAGGGAAGCAGTGGCTCAGGGGCTAAGACGCTGAGCTTGTCGATCGGAAAGGTCGGCAGTTTGGCGGTTCGAAATCCCTAGCGCCGCGTCACGGAGTGAGCTCCCGTTATTTGTCCCGGCTTCTGCCAACCTAACAGTTTGAAAGCACATAAAAAACGCAAGTAGAAAAATAAGTAGAAAAAATGCAAGTAGAAAAATTGGTGGGAAGGGAACAGAGTTCCGTGCACCTTTGACATTTAGGCATGCCGGCCACATGACCACGGAGACGTCTTCGGACAGCGCTGGTTCTTCGGCTTTGTAACGGAGATGAGCTCCGCCCCCTAGAGCCGGGAATGACTAGCACCTATGTTTGAGGGGAACCTTTACCTTTCAAGGTGACGGCAGGAAATTTTTCACTTTCAGATTTGTAAGATTCTTTTCATATGGAGCTTTACAATAAAGTTGAACTACCTCACCTGGTCATGTTTCCTGTCTGGTGTACCTGGTAAATCTGACCCTTACGAATCTGGGAGGGGTCCAAACAAAGAAACTGGAAGCTATTTTCCCTTCAGTTAACTGGCTGGAATCAAACACACACACACACACACACACACACACACACACCCTAGAAGTTGGCAGGGCCATCAGAATTCTGAAGCTAACAATGTCGTCATTCTTCTTTTTTGGCATTCTGCTGGGCTCAGGGTGTTGCGTTTTGTGTTGGTTGCTGACTTCCACCCAAAGCACACAATGCCTTCCTGTACATATCTACTACGGATGCTGCCTCTGTGTGTGTGTGTGTTGCAAGCAAAGCCAGAGACGGCAGAGATATTAATATCTTGATATAATAGAATGAGATACTCGCCGGTGTTATATTTTTAACACAAAGCTTGATGGGGAAGACCAGTGGGTTTTAGATACAGATAGTCTTTGACTTACGACCACAACTGAGCCCGAAATTTTCTCTGGCTGAGTGCGCTTTGCCTCATTTTGCGACCCTTCTTGCCACAACGGTTAAGTCAATTGCCGCGGTTAAGTTAGTAACACAGGTCATTGAGTAAATCGATGGTTTTCCCCCGTTGATTTTTGCTGGCCAGAAGTACGCAAAAGGGGAAACCGCGCGACTCTGGAAGTCACTGTTTCCAGTCCCTTTTGTAACTTAGAACGGTCACTAAGCAGACGGTCACAAGTTGAGGACTATCTGCGTGGTGCGTTAACATTTAGGACGTGGAATTTAAGACGGGCCTTTTTGCATTTAAGGGACGAAAGAGATGCGGGAAAAACCCACGAATAAGGGAGCCACCATGGACTGCTCCCCCCCCATTTTTTTCCCTTTAGAATGCTCATCGTGGAAACAGATGGGCGGTCTTAAGAGGTCATCTAGTCCATCCCTACCCCTCAGGACTAAGGGTTGCCTCGAACATCCGTGAAAACCTGCCCTTCCAGCCTCTTGTGGCGAGCCCTCCAAGTCCAGTTTGCTCAAATGTTCCGCCTTCTTTCCCAGCGAGTCCGCTTAACCTACCTCACAGGCTCGTTGTTGGACGCAGAGCAGGTTGGGGGGGGGGAGGTGCTCCTCGTCCCCCTCCTCCCCCCCCCCCCCCCCGCTGACTATGCTTGAATGAAAAAAACCCACCTTTTTTTTTAAAAAAAAAAAGCAAAAAAAAAAAATAATAACATATTTTGAGTGCCACCGGTTACGAGTTTATCAGAAATGTTTTGGCAAGGCGCGTTGGGATCCCCATCTTGCTGTTTCAACTTGTTTGTTGGCAGCTGGGAAGTGCCGCTTGGTTAAAAATGTTTACCTGCACGCTTCGTTCTTTGTTTTGGTACAAAGGTGTGGTGGGGTTGGCTGGAGGCCAATGACTCATGAAATGAATGAAAAACCAGGTTGCCGAGTTGCATAGAAGAGAACATTTGAATCTCTCTTTTAATTTTTTTTTTATTCTTCCAGCTTTAGCTGACCCAAGGGATAAAGTAGAGGGTTTTTTTGGGGGGGATTTTATTCATAAACATTTTTTTATTACAGCGTTTTGTCTGGATATATTATTTACACACACGCACAGACACAAAAAGAAACATAGCTAATGCTGTAAAAAATATGATCCCATTTACTAATATTAATACTAATAATTGTAATAACACCTAAATTAATGGCTCTAATAATACTACAGCTCCCATGCAATACAATCCCCATTTTTGTATTTAACTCATTCATACCTTTAATATTTATAGCAATTATAGTTATATATCTTCCCCTGTTTTTTAATAAGAAAGTTCATCGTTTTTCTTCCTCTAACTTCTACCCCTTGTTTTAAGCCACCCATAAAATCGATTCCATGTCAACTAAAAAAAAATACTCTTTTGGACTTTTTAGTTGCCAATAGCATTCTGAGTCTTCTTTTTCTTTTCTTTTTAAAGTTAATCAGTTCATCTCGGCACATTCTAGGATCTTCCTAGAGGAGTGGCCTTTTTAAATTTGCTTTATTTTTTTGTTTGTCCATGTGGGATTAAATTCTGGGTTTTCTTTCCTCGTTCAAAGCAGACTCTGACCAGATTATGGGGTAGCTTCCTCCTCCCTTTCATTAACTGCCCGGTTTTAATTTGCAAAGAAAACTTAAAAATCCACTGGCTTTCTCAAATCCTGTGCTGGGAGGGCCTCGCCGGGTTTGGGGTGGACTTCAAAGCAGATGAGACCACACATGTGTTTTTCTGCTCATTGTAGGCCCCAGAAGTCATTATGTCTCAACATTATGGTGCCAAAGCTGATCTGTGGAGCATTGGGACGATAATCTACCAGTGCCTGACGGGAAAAGCACCATTTCAGGTAAGAGGAAACATTTGTTTCTGTCCATTTCTCCTGCGGCTTTGGGAGTTTCTTCATTATGTTACTGTCGCTTGTCCTAAATGTGCTTTTTTTTTTTTTTCTTTCAAGAGGCAACTGTTCTTGAATGCAGGGATGTAATCCTGTGATGTTGTGTTATTTGCAAAGAAACGTGCGGTGGGGTTTTTCCCAAGGAGAAAACAAAAGAGAGAATGGGAGGTCCAGTTGCGGAGACGGGAGATTTTCTGGAAATTGTGACTTTTTGAAAAGAAACGCATCTCGGTTGAAGTCTGCAGAGATTCTCAGTCATCCAAGTTGTGGTTGTCCCAATGGTTCTTTTTCATGAGGCAACTGGACTTTCTTGTTTTTCTTTTAGAAGACGTTTCGCTTCTCATCCAGGAAGCTTCTTCAGCTCCGACCGGATGATGGGCAATTGGAAGGATTTATATTCCTTGCAGACAGCTGGTCATTTGCATCCTTTTAGAAAGTCTGTTGAGGCCACCTGGAGGTTTATCTGTGTCCTCAGGTTCACCTGAGCGGAATGGATTTCCAGAGGAAACATTGGAGACTACAGGAACCAGGAGCACTACTCAGGTGACCCCGAGGACACAGATAAACCTCCAAGTGGCCTCAAAAACCCTCTAAAAGGATGCAAATGACCAGCTTATCTGAGAGGAGTATAAATCCTTTCATTCCCCACTATACAGTTGTCTTTCTTGGTAGTGAAGAATTTGCCTCCGAAAATGTAAAAGATTTAATACTTCCTGGCTGGACTAGAAGACCTCCAAATTCCCTTCCAGTTTCTATTCTATTCTATTCTATTCTATTCTATTCTATTCTATTCTATTCTATTCTATTCTATTCTATTCTATTCTATTCTATTCTATTCTATTCTACTCTACTCAGTATCTTTGCTCCTAGGAAGAGAAAAAGAGTTTTGGGTAGGAGATTAAGCAAATATTTTCTTGTTGTGATTTTACATAGCCAGAGGACCACTGGCTTGGTCCCTCTGGAGATAGCTAAAGGTCTTTGAAGTTGTTCCTGAATAAATAGCCCAAGGAAGACCCAATCAAGTGTGTTTGCGTGTAAATATTTTCAAATGATTCTAGCTTGTTCTGCTCCAAGACCTTTTAGCAATTGAACTGCATTCAATGGGATGATTCTGTTTATTCCTAGAACACTCTCTTCCATTTTGTAGAAGTGGGAGAACCAGGTTCCTTGTGAATCTTCACTTCTTGCTTTGGGTATTGTGATCTGTTTCTGATGCCTGGTGATTACATGGGACAGTTGTTCTCCGTTGACCTCTTCTTGGTTGTAACGTGTAACCCTGCTAAGGATGTTCCAAGGATGACTTCAATGTCATCTTTGTGACCTTCCCATTTTGGTTTAGCCCATCTATGTGTTGGGGTTAAGTTGACCTTTTGAGACAACTGAAATGATAAGAGGCTAGAAGGAGGGGGAAAAAAACGTGATAAGGTGGACAGGTGATGTGTTTAGTCTGGAGTGGAGAAGACTTCAGAACAGAACAGAATATCAGAGTTGGAAGGGACTTTGGAGGTCTTCTAGTCCAACCCCCTGCTCAGGCAGGGAAGCCTATACCATTTCAGACAAATGGTTGTCCAGTCCCTTTTCAAAAATTTCCAGTGTTGGAGCATCCACAACTTCTGGAGGCAAGCCGTTCCACTGGTTAATTGTTCTCACTGTCAGGACATTCCTCCTTAGTTCTAGGTTGCTTCTCTCCTTGATTGGTTTCCACCCGTTGCTTCTTGTCCTGCCTTCAGGTGCTTTAGAGAACAGGTTGAGCCTTTCTTTTTTGGGGCAGCCCCTCAAATACCGGAAGACTGCTATCATGTCCCCTATAGTCCTTTGTTTCATTCAACTAGACTTAACCAATTCCCGTAACCATTCTTTATATGGTCCTCACTCAACTTCAGTCAAACCCACTGGCACCTGGAGGACTTTTTTTAGGCAATGGGGCAGAATTATTCAGACTTCTTCCAGCTCAGGACAAGAAACACGGAATGTAGACTTCACTGGAGGTGTTTAAGTAGGTGTGTGTGTGTGTGTGTTGGTTTTGGAGATATTATAGTTGACTTCGGTAGAGGTCAGGTTAAACGATCTTCAATATCCCTCCCAATGCTTCTATTCTTCAGTTGAAATCCTGCTTGATGGCTTAGCATATTGTGTGAATTCATCTTCTTGTGGTTTAAGGCTTTCAACTTAAGTCCTTCTGGCCAACTGACCTGTTTGAGGGCAGCATTTGAGATCTCCTTCCTTTGTTGTTGTTGTGAAGTCATTTATGACCCATCCTGACCCCATGGACAGCGTTTCTCCAGGCCTTCCTGTCCTCTACCATCTTCTGGAGTCCATTTAAGCTCATTGCCGACTGCTTCAGTGACTCCATCCAGCCCCCTCCTTCTCTGCTGTCCCCTTCTTCTTCTTCTTCTCTTGCCCTCCATCATTCCCAGCATTACGGCTCTTCTCCAGCGAGTCTTTCCTTCTCATGAGGTGGCCAAAGTCTTTGAGTTTCATCTTCAGGATCTGGCCTTCTAAAGAGCAGTCAGAGTTGATCTCCTCCACTTGTCTACTCCACAGCTGTGTGTGAACGCCTCTTGAGTAAGATTGACTTGGGATCTTCTTATGGTTACTATTAGTAGAGGATGAATTCATCCTTAGAATGGCCTGTCTTGTTGACACTTAGATTTTTCCTTGATCACAAAGTCTCCTTTGAATCAAGTAGGATCCTTGGGTCTTCAAGGATTTGTCCATCAAGGTTTCTTCAGAACAGTATAAAGTGGTTTCTATTGAAACTTCTGTGACTTTGGAGGGACAGTCCTGAGAAACATTTCTGGTGTTCTCCTTCCCAAGAAACTACTCTAAGTCAATCATCCTTAATCAACCCAGGCCCGACTTCAGCATTGTTATCTACAGAACCTCTGAGAGCCAGAGGCCATGAGCTAACAACCTTATCTCTTTCTGTGGTGGAGAGAGGTGAATACTGATTAGATAAGATGATGAATTTTGAGAAAGCTATCAAAATGCAGAAACACCTGCCTTCCAGCAAGCTGGTCTTAAAATAATAACACTAATAAAAGAGACCCCAAATGCTGTCCTAGGAAAAGGAAGGAAAAATTCAAAATAGTCAGATTTGCATAAATTGCCCAAAGCCATTTCGTGTTATGCAAATGTTGCCTCCGCAGGAGACCTTTGAAAGAATGGGTCATTCCACCACCACCACGCTTAAAAGTTTCCATAAAGTTGTCGAGAAGACAGACAAGAGGATTGTGTCCTCACGGATGCCCCGTATTTTTAACAGATTTTGTTTTAATTCTTTTTGGTTAATGGCATCGTAAGTTCCCCAGGGCACATGTCCTGCAACCGGTGGAAACAATGCATAAATCTATTCCATAAAAGTCCATTTTAAACAGCAGCCAGAACATCAGAAAGCAAAACCAAGTTGGCTTAGGACCAAAATGCTACACTATTTTATTGGAAAGGCATGGCTGCAAGCAAGAAGGGGATGGCAACTGGTTTCATCTTCAGGTAGTCCTCAAGACCATAACGGAGCCCAACATTTCCGTTGCTAAGCGAGACAGGTTATTTATTTGTTATTTATTCATTTTATTGATTAGCCCTTAGCGCAGAGTTCCCAGAAACAAATTATTACTAAAGTTGGATGAAAGCAATTTAAAATGAAATTGGAATAAAATACGATTTAAAATGAAATCGGAATAAAATACAATCTAAAAATGCAATTGGAATAAAATACAATGATTTAAGATACATATAAAATATAGTAAAATTATATTTTGGGGTCACCCCTACAATCTACCCCAATCAGCAGGACAGGTGTTAACTGAGTTTTTGCCCCATTTTACAACCTGGCTTGCCATGGTTGTTTAAACGAATGATGACAGTTGTTCTTTCTAGTTCTGATGGATTCTGGTTGCTTTAATAGTGTTAAGGTGTTGTAAACTCTTCTCTTTCTCTTTTCCCCATGAGTGGGGCGGGCTCCAAAACCTAATCAAACAAATAAAGAAAACTATGGTTTATGAGCTGGGCACACTAAGCCCCGATCAGGCACGTCATCATGGCTTAAACAGAGCAGGAGAAAAAAAAACGCACAAGATTTGAGAGCACCGATTATTATAAATAGAACTTAACATTTGATACGCTGGTGCAGCTGTTGACCTTTTTCATAGTGTTTTTCTGGTCTTTTCTGCCATAAAATCTGCTTATCAGAAATTCTGGACGCCTGGCTCCTTGTTCAAGTCTAACCTGTTGGAGAGGATCCCATGTTTACTTCTGTTAAAAAGCCAACTGCAAACATCTCTCTCTGCCTTTTGCTTAAGCTACATGGAGGCCATGTGGTTCCTACGTTTTGCTATATTCTTATGTGCTGCTGGTTCAGCAACTCTGTTTTGGCCAACTAGAGTAGGTATTTTGGGTCTGGCAGAAAGGGGAGACTTCGTAAGTGTCCTAGCTGCTTCCCTCTCGGTATTCTGGAAATGGAGTTCTTGGAAGTCTTCACCAACTTGGCCAAAGGTTGCTCAGAAATCCTGGAAGCAGCCAAGACATCCCAACAAGGAGATTAGAGGAGGTGAAAAGAGGGATTTTGAGGTCCTCTTGAATTCATGTTTCAGAAGATGCAGCAGTAGACGTCTTAATCCCTCCACGTCATTTGTTATGATGGTTTGGGGCAATGTGGAGTAAACCAATGAAGGTTGAAATGGTTGGCTTGGTGAAACTATAATCCATGGTCCAATAAACACTGAGTTTACTCCAACCTCAACTGTGATAGGAGGGCGTAATTGATCATTCATGATCACATGGTGGAAATAATCTCTTTCTCCAAGGATCGTGGAGAGTTAATGGGCACCATGGGCTGGAGAGGTTGGCTGAGGGACCATCACTTCAACTTCTTGAAGTTGCACCATGATTACGCAGTGGTTAGAATGCAGTATTGCAAGCTAATTCAGCTCACTGCCAACAGTTTGATCTTGACCAGTTCAAAGTTGACTCAGCCTTCCCTCCTTCCGAGGTCGGTAAAATGAGGACCCAGATTGTTGGGGGCAATAGGCTGACTCTGTAAACCGCTTCATAGTAAAGCAGTATGAAGCGGTATATAAGTCTAAGTGCTATTGCTGTTCTTTTCTGACAATAGGGTATTTTGGGATTGGATCAGCTGCGAGGCCGAGCAGCTGACAGGGAGTGGGAGTGTGGCTCCGGTGGCTGTGGAAGAAACTGGGGAAGGGCAAAGTCCAGCTGGGCAGAGCAGGAGAGAGGTAGAATAAGGGAGACAGAGTTCGGAGGAAGACCCAGCCTCACCCCCTCTTCATCCTAGAGCACGCAAGGAGGAATGGAGAAGGGAGCAACGTGAGTTGCGTGGCTTACAGGGAAGGAAAGGGCCCTGATTCCCTTCCTTAGCTGCAGCTGAGAACCACAGTGTATAAAAAAGGGAAGCCTCCGCACAGCAAGTTGTTGGGAGCAAACGTGAATTTATCTTGTGTGGCTTATCTGTGTTCCTGGCATCTTCCCAACTGTGTGAGTTTTGCTGTGCTTTCAAGTCTGAAATCCCTTCTCCTGCCCTGTCAAGTTAATTACTTCAGCTTGGTTTGTTTGGATTTTTAGTTACATTTTTGTATGTACCTTGTTTTGGACTGAATTTTCTACAGTTAAAAGCTGTTCCTGGGAGAGTTTTTTTTCCAGTCGAAGGTAACCTGGACATTGGGGGCAAAGTTGAAGATAATTGAAGGGACTCTTCTTGCTTATTTAACTGTGTTGCCTTTGTGCCATGCCCCTTTGGGTCATCGCACATGGTTGGACTCCAACTTCCAGAAACCACTAGCCAACATGGATGGGCTTCAACTCTCAGAATTGTCCAGCTGGGGAATTCTGGGAGTTGAAGTCCGTCCATCTTTAAAGTTGCCAAGGCCTAAAGTTTGGACCCTTTCCTTCCTCCCCTTTTGCTGCCTTGCCTGGTCTTCTCCACGTGCTTCATAAGTGGTTTTAAACTCCCTCCGGGACCACCTGCTTCTTCTATCACTTTATTTGGGGAACAGATTCCAGCTGAAGGAGAGCTGATCTGTTAGAGCCATTTTCTTCCAAACAGGTGAGAGACTTTGGCCCTTCTGGAATTTGTCATTTGACCCACTTTCCTTCCTGGCCAAAGGAGGAGGGGAGACCCCGAGCTCGCCCCCCCTCCCCCACCCACCAAATTCAGCGTGCCCCCAATGGATCGCACCGTCCTCCCCTTCCTCTCCTCGTGTTGCAAACATCTTATTTTTCAGCCGGATGCCAATGGTGCGCATCACTGAACAGGCTGGGTGGATGCATGCGCAAAGTAAACATAGACCCAACCGTGAAGCCGATCAGAAGCTTATTATGGTATCGTGTCTTGATCTTTTCCTGAAACCAAGCTCAGCAACATTGCATCTGTTCAGCTCAAAGCTCTTCCGTGGGTCAGGTGGCCACTCCCCCCCTTTGCAAACTTCCCATCTGGCAAAGTCAACGGGGGAAGTTGATTTGCTTAACAACCACATGATTCACTTAACAAGGACAGTGGTTTGCTTAACAATCAGTGGCAAAAAGTTTGTGATATCGGGTGTGACTTAACTGTTTTGCTTATTCTAATCCCAATTGTGATTGTGAATCAAGAGGGAGGGAGGGAGGGAGGGAGGGAGAGGGAGAGAGAGAGAGAGAGAGAGAGAGAGAGAGGGAGAGAGAGAAGAGAGAGAGAGAGAGAGAGAGATGCGGATGATAGATAAGATAGACAAAATAGGCCGTGAGTTCAATCCTAGGTAGAGGGAGATATTTCTATCACTGAGAATATATCCGAGAATATATCTGCTGAAAAAAACACACTCTGCATTGGCGATAGGAAAGGCATCCGGCCAGTAAACCATCAGCTCCATTCAGTTGGCCAGACTCAATCCCGCAAGAGATTATGGGGTCGTTAAAAGAGGAAGATGGATGGATGGATGGACGTATAACTGATGGGTGGATGGATGGATAGATGAGTAGAGAGGATGTGTAAATGGATGGATGGATAGATGAGTAGAGAGATGTGAAAATGGGTAGATAGATGAGAGAAGATAGATAGGGTGAGATAGATAGATGGTTGGATGGATAGAAAGAAAGAAGAAAAGAAAGAGAGAGAGAGAGGGGAGAGAGAGAAAGAAAGAAACAGAAAGAATATCACAAAGAGTAGGCATGAATGCCTACCACCCTCTCATTTCATCCTCCTCAAACCCCTCAGTGAGTTTTCCCCAAAGGCTGGTGAATGGACCTCCAGGATGGATGGGATGACTTTTAGCTACCAAAGCCCCCCTGCCCTCCACACCCCCGGGCGGGCGTTGGCAACCAAGCGTCGAGCTCAGGCCCAACTGTGCTAACCCTCTCCTTTCTCTCCCACTGCAGGCCAGCAGTCCTCAAGACCTGCGTCTCTTCTATGAGAAAAACAGGATGCTGGTGCCAAAGTAAGTTCTCCAGCCAGCCGGCCGGGGCGGTCTTTTCTCTCCTGCTCCCTCCCGCTCTTCTCAGCCGCCTGCTTCTTGTTGTGTTTTCAGTCAGCACCTGTCCCCCTCATGTGCTTTAAGCAGCCACTTGGCAAGGTGCCTTTTCTGCTCTCTAGCTAGGAATGACAGCAACCAGCACGCCAACTCGGTTACCCCGGCTGACCTCACCCGGGTCTAAATATTTTTAAGCAGTGGGGTGGGGAGAAAAGGCAGGGCGGCGGGGAGCCCAAAACTCTGCCAAATCCACTCGTTTCGGCCAAGCGTAACAAGCTCCTTGGATTTTATTTTATTTTTTTTCCCCCTTCCTTTCTTCCCAGCCCAAAATAAATGGAGAACAAGCATTAGTCCAAGTTCTCCATGTCCCGTTTCGCTGGGCTCCTCTTAAAAAGGCTGCGGTTGGTGGTGAGCCCGAACAATGGCCTTTGATGAGAAATTCCAGAGAAAGGATATTTTTTAGTGGGGTTGCAAGCTTTTTCCTTTTTAGTGGGGTTGAGTCATGGTTTGTTGCAACGATGAGTTTGTCGAGTAGTCTAGAGGGCAGGTTCAAATGCTAGAGCAGTGTTTCTTTTCTTTTTTTTTAATAAAGTTTTATTTGGGTTTTCACACACAAAATACAAGTAAAACATCTTTTTTGAAAATAGCATGGTCCCGGGTTGAACTTCTTTATACAGACACAAAACTCAATTTCATGCTCCTTTTTGTATTCTATTCCATATCTTATACTATTTTACATTTTCTATATAGTTTTTCCCCTCTTTTAATTTTCTCAATTTTATTTTGATTATCTCATCTCAATTCAAATCATTATATTTATACTTTTGTCTGTTCTGTTTCAATTTCATATTATCTTTTATCATTAAACAAATTTTCTCCTGTAGTTACTAATTGGAGTATGACACCTTTATATCTTTTAATTACATCCATTCAACTCTTATTTAAACTTCAATATATACCTTAAGTTTATGACCTTCAATATAATACATAATACATAACTTCCAATCAAATTCTGCTTGGCACATTCTTATAATACACACTATATTCTTTAAAAAAAAAGAAAGATTGTAAATATATGTAATTATAAACCCTCATTCCATTCCAGTTCAGTTCTATCATTAATAATCATTAAAACCATAACATCTTTAACACTTCTTTTCAATTAAATATCATACTTCCTTAAAAACACATATAATCTCCATAATTAATTTTTCCCTTATTTCTCTTCACATATGTTTTATAAATTATTAAATATACCTTTTGTTACATTTATTTATTGACAAGCATTCTACTGAATTACGATAGCTATTTTATCAGACATTTTAATCATACATTGTTTCATATTTTCTAAAATTATTTCTGCTTCTAATATAACCATACTATCTTATGTACCTTTGCAGAATCCCTTTTTCCATTAAGTTTTCACCCATTATCTCTAAATAAGACCCTGTTTCTCTATATTTTGCTTCTGTCCTTTATAACTTATTTTCCTTTCTTTCTTCCCTCTCATCTTCTCCCTCCCCTTTTTACCCCCTTGTCTCTCTAGTTCTAATTCTCTCTTCTGCATTTCCCTCTTCTGTTGCTTTCTGATTTTATACTTATTTTTCACTCTATTTTTTGGGGGGAGTTGTTTTTCCCAATCTTAAACTTTCCATTCTCTTTCTCCCCTTTCCTTTTTTCCCCCCATTTAAGATTACTTGTTCATTAAAGATGGCTTCTTCTTTGTCACAATCTTCTTCTTCTGCAGGCATTTCTTGTTGTTTCTCATAATTCCAAATCTCCATTTCTAAAAACTGAAATACGAAGCCAAAAGAACCTCTCCCTTCTTGTGCATCTTCTTTGTACTTTTTAAGTTCCATTTTCAGTTCTTCTAAAAGTGGAGCCATTTAAAAAAGTTTTAAACAACCACCTGATTGATTTTAGTCATTCAAAACAATAACCAAGAATCCAGAAATCATCAAGTAATCCAGATAGTCCCGAGTTATATCTTCTTATTTCTTTTTCGGCTTTCTCTTCCTGGGGTTTTTGTTGCGATATTTCAGTTAGAATGTATCTTTTGGAAGTCTTGTTGAGATTTTGCTGTAAGTTCTTTTTTAATTCCAGGCAGTCTCCTCCCTTCCAGATCCTGCCCTTTTATTCTTCCTCTCTCCTTTCCTGTTTTCAAAAGCTTTTAATTATGCAGAAATCTTTATTATCCCTTTGACTTTTTATTTTCGGCATTAAATGCCTATTGATGTCAAAGTGGATTTTTTTCCAATTTCTTGCTTAAGTCTCTTAGTTGTCAGTATAGGAAAAGGAGAAAACCAAATCTTTTCCCTTTTCTCTCTCCTTCGCAGCTTAAAAATCTTAGGGAACAATGTTATTGTTTTTTAACAGTTTCAATTCCAGGGTACCTTATTTGTTGCTTTTGCTGTTTGACCCGGTCAACCAAAACTTTCTCTTCTTATCTTCCTCCTGCACATTCTTTTCCGATCGAGTTCTTCTTTGTGGTGGCCATTTCTGACCACCGCTGCAACCGCCTTCGGGAAAGGGAGTAATGGCCAGCTGGGGAGGAGACATGCGGCTCTCCTCAACCCTGCTGGCAGTCTCCCTCCTCTTCACCACCTCTATGGGGTGGCTTAGCCCCGAAACCAGCCGGCTTGGGGCGCTCCAGCGGCGAGCACGGATCGAAGCCTCGCAGAGACGAGGTTTCGGTCTATCACTGAAGAAGCTCAAACCGGAAGACTAGAGCAGAGTTTCTCAACCTGAGCAATGTTAAGACAGGTGGAATTCAACTCCCAGAATTCCCTAGCCCAGGGGTCGCTAACCTTTTGGACTTCAGGGACCACCAAACACTCATAATTTTAAATCCCGCGGATAAATAATATGAATTTTGACTGATGGTAGCTTACTAATGTTGGTGGGAGAGAGTGAGAGATCTGATCTAACCTTGGAGGGCTGGCAGTGATATATTCTCTCTCTCTCTCTCTCTCTCTCTCTCTCTCTCTCTCTCACACACACACACACACACACACACACACACACACACACACACACATACAGAGGTCCCTCATACACCCCCATCCCTTCCAAGGCAGCCACATTCCTTCACTAACTTACTTTTCAACTCCGTTTTCGGGGGGGGGGGAGAGAGAGAGAGAGAGGGTATCCTGTGATCCCAAATAAAGATCGATCGATCGATAGGAAAATGGAGTGGGGGATTTTCCTGCAGACTTTTTGGGGGATTTTCCCAGGGACCACCAAAAAATTTTGACGGACCACCAGTGGGCCACGGTCCACCGGTTGGCGACCATTGCCTTAGCCAGCATGTTTTAAGATAAGTGGACTTCAACTCCCAGAATTCCCTAGCCAGCTTGCTTTAAGACAGGTGGATTTTAATTCCCAGAATCTGCCAGGCTGCATGTTTTAAGATGAGTAGATTTCAATTCCCAGAATTCCCCAGCGAGCATGCTTTATTTAAGATTTTAATTATTTTGTTATTAAATTTTTGCCACTTGCTGTGAGGCAGCTCGGGGGTTAAGATCTCAACTCCCACAATTCCCCAGCCAGCGTCCTGGCTGGGGAATTCTGGAAGTTACAATCCATTCATGCATCTTAACAGTGCTAAGGTTGAAAAACAAGAATGGGGTGTGTCTAGTAGTCTAATGAAAAGAAGGACTAGGGGAGACGTGATAGCCGTGTTCCAATATTTGAGGGGCTGCCCCAGAGAAGAGGGAGTCAAGCTATTCTCCAAAACCAGGAAAAGGCAGGACAAGAAGCTGTGGGTGGAAACTAATCAAGGAGAGAAGCAACTTAGAACTAAGGAGAAATTTCTGACAGTGAGGATAATGAATCAGTGGAACAAATTGCCTCCAAAAGTCGTAAATGCTCCAACTTTGCAGGTTTTTAAAAAGACGTTGGACAACCATTTGTCTGAAGTGGTGTAGGGTTTCCTGCCTAAGCAGGGGGTTGGACTAGAAGACCTCCAGGGTTCCTTCCAACTCTTTTATTATTTGATGTTCTAAACTCTGTGCTAGACGATGGGAGTCAAAGCCAGAGGGGAATGACTTTGTCGGGTCTTGTAATAGCATGCTGTTGGCTGCAGGCCAGAAAGGAAGTGGGGGGCGGGGGAAGTTGGCCAAAAATTCAATTTGGATCTAATTTGATTTGAGGCTGGTGACGTTTCCATTTCATTTGGAAAGAAAGTAAAGGACATTAAGCCTGGTTAATTGGCTGGCCCTCATGCGCACTTTATCGTTTTGTCTTTTGATCAGCTTAAAACGTCCTCCAGGGTGGGAAGCTTTTGAAGGGACAGTTGAGATGGATCCAAAAAATGTTGTGAGCAACCCGATTTTTTTCAGTGGCCTTTAGGTCATTTGCAAAAAGAGTTGTGTGTGGAGTTACTCGCGCACCTACCCCCACTCCATAAATCACATCAGAAGTTGGATAACTTTGCTTAATATCCCCTTAAGCATGATGTGGGTTTGAATTGGATATTATTATTATTATTATTATTATTATTATTATTATTATTATTATTA